GATGCTGTTTAGTGGTCACAGGTGAATACTACAGACACAGACAAGTAACCACCATTGGTGACTGATTGAATTGCCAATCAATCAACACATTTTCTGAGTTTTCTTTTAAGGTGTGTTTGTCTTACGCTGTCTTGAAAAGTCCATGATCAGTAAATATTTGCTGACCAACAGACTGATTTATTAACTCCTCCCAAATTGAGGCCATTTCCTGCAACTTTAACCTGAGCTCTGGCCGCAAAGTGGAACAAGTATTCTAGAAATATATTCTACCTCTTTGGAACCATTCGAACTTTTGTCACCTTTCTTTCTAACTTCTCAGACCCTCCCCCAGATTCAGAGCAGGGGATCCCCTTAGACAAGGGTGGAACATTCATCTAGTGACTCAAGAAGGATTTTCAGTTTCAGTTCTTTACATATGGGGGTGAGAGAAAAGGAGGCCGCAAGGGGTGGCCTTTGTAAACCGTGCCCCGAGCCTGGTGTCGAGCCTGGTGCCATGAGGCAGACTCATCCAGTCTTTGCCGGCCAGTCTTCCCTCCCTGCCCCAGCTCCCCTGGGTTGGAAGCTACTCCTTTCCCTCACAGGACTGACCTGTGATGACCGCCAAAGTGACAGTGGTACTGTGCCGCTGCCCCCGCAGATGGATGCGGCAGGTGTAAGTCCCAGCCTGGGCCTGGCTCACAGCCTCCAGTTGAAGGGTAAAGTTGCCATTGTCTCCAGCCACCAGCAGGTCAGGACCTCCACTGGGAGGGGTCCACGTGGCAGTTAGGGAAGATGGGGTCCTTATGCTAGAAGGCAGTTGGCAGGGCAGCTCCACCCGGGAGCCTGCTCCTGCATACACGGTCAAGGGGACTTGCTGTGCCGCACCTGGAGAGAAAAGGGACCCCAGAGTTAAAGCAGGGAGGGGGAGGTGGCAGCGGGGATCAGCACTGGGTTGCCATGGAAGGGAGACAGAGGGTGAAGGAGGTGGTCCTGCTCAGAAGAGAGCTAAGGAGCAGAATAAGATGTATGAACTGAAGAGACTCAGAAACCCAGGATGTGGGCTGAGCCAGCTGGAGACCGAAAGCCGGCAATTGAGGCTGGACGGCCAAAGGAAAGTCTACAAGAGGAGAAGGCAGCTGAAAGGTGGCAGTGGGAGGAAGACAGAAATCAGACAGTGAGGTCCAGGGCAATCCCATGAGGTGTTAGCTGCGGAAGCCCTGCCTTGGGGATCCGTGAGTCAGGGGGAGGTGAGAGAGGGGCAGGAAGGCACTGTGGTTGAGCATGAAGGCAGACTGGAGGAATTACCCAGAACAGTGAGGTTGTATGTGCTGGAGACATTGAAGCCATCTCTGTAGGAGAGGATGCAGCCCCAGGGCCCAGAATCCAAGGGGCTGACTCGGGACAGGAAGAGGAAGCTTCCAGCCAAGTGGTGATGGGGGGACTCCTGAACAGGGACTCTGCCCCGGCCGCGGAACCAGTGCACAGAGGCTGGGAGGTCAGGGCGGCTGAAGGAGCAGCTCAAAACGACCCAGTCGGAGGTCCTGAGAGGCCCTGGGTGACTGGCAGTCACTGTGCCAGGATGAAGAAGGGTCGTTAGCAGCGCCGCACTCTCCCCTCACAGCGGGCCAACCGAGCTGGAGGCTCTGTCTTCTCCTCCACCCCGCCCCCTCCAACTCAGTGCTAGGCACCTGGAGGTGCTTAAAATGGACGCCCAGAGCCTCCAAGTTTGCTTGGTTTGATCTACCCTCCCCTTTCCACCAGCCTTGCCTGAGGATCATCACTAAGCCCACCTCCTGAGCCACAGATGTCTGAAATGAATCACTCCAGCCCCGCACCCTCCCTCGCCCCCCAAGGGGTGCCTCTCCTCCCCCACCTGGCACTCCCACTGTGGGTGGGGCAAGGGGAGCTCAAGGGTGATACAATCTCTTCAAAGGCACCCCCCCACACACACACGTGCTTTCCCTGGGGGCACCTTCCACTTCGCAATCCGATTCCCCACCCCCTTCCGCTACCCTTCTGGGGGCTCGCTGTCTGGGCTTAGGGCGCATCCTTCGAAGCACAGCCTCGGCCCAGCCCTTCCTGCCTCCGGATGGCGTGGAACTGGGCGCCCTCTTCCCGGTCTGGCGCCCCTCGCCCCGCCCCCACCTACCCCAGGCCCGGCCCACGCGCAGACGGAGGCGGCAGGTGAGGGCTCGGTTCTTGAGGTTCACCGTGGCGCTGTACTCGCCGGCGTCGGCGAGTCGGGCCGGGCGCAGCCAGAGCGAGAAGTCCCCGCGCTGGAGGCCGCGGTCTTCCAGCTTCATGCGGGACTGCAGGGGCGGCCGCCCGCTGCGCAGCCCCCCAGGAGCCAGCCTCAGCACAGTGTAGGGGGTGGGCGCCACAGGATGAGAGCCCCTGGTTGGGGCCCGGCTGGGTGCGGGAGAGAGAGATGGAGACATTAAAGGGGAAAGCAGTCTCGGGGGAGATGCAGTCCTGCGACACTTGTAGCATTTGGAAGCCCGCCCAAAGGGAAGCTCTCTTGACTGCTAACTGTCCTGGTCCCTCTGGCCTTGGGCCAGCACCAACCCCTGCTAGCAACTCATGGGATGCAAGGAGGTGGGGAGCAGTTTTCAGAGGAAGGACCTAGGGTGCATAGTGGCAGGGGAGGCAGGCCACTGGCTTTAGAGGGACTGACAGCTCAGGGAAGGGGACTGGGGTCTGCTTTGGGTCTCGGGTTGTGAGTCTGGATGCCGTTGCTGCTGGATTTGGGAGTTCTGTTGCCCAAGTTTGGGGTGCATACCTGTCTGGTAGATGCTGCCAAGTGACCCCTCCTGTGTGAAGAAGCCTGGGATCCTGGAGGGGGATTGTAGGGCTACAGGGAAGCTGGGCAGGAGCCCCCTCCTGGGCCCACACCTCCGGGACCTCTGCCCCAGGTCCTGGTGCCTCCACTGGGGAGGAAAAGAGAGGACAAGGGGAGGGGCCATGAGCCAAGTGACTGGGGAAGACCAAGGGTTTTGCCTTTTCCCTGCCAAGGGGGAGCCTGGAGAGAGGCTTTGGGGCTGAAGGGCTACCCCAAGCAAGGCATGAGAAGAATCCACCCAAACTAAGAACCTTGGCTCTTGTGCAGTCTTCCAGACATCCCTGCTGACCCTCCTGTGTGTCTGGAGGTCGACCCTCCCAGAGGGTCATCCCCACCTTACCTGGAGCCACCCACAGCAGTGGCAGGAGCAGCAAGACCTGGAACTGCGCCTCCACCATCTCCCCCCGGGCCCTGGCCACAGTGAGCCCTCCAAAGGGAAGAGGTCAGAAAGAGGGAGAGACGGCCTGACAAAAGAGAGGTTCTGCTACGTGGAGGATGGAGGAAGAGAAGTGGAAGAAGAGGGACAGGGGCAGAAGCCTGGAGAGAGAGGGGAGGAGCTAATGACCTGAGGCTGGAATCCAGAGGACAGCTAGACAGATCAGGAGTGGGTAGGGGGTGAGGTTGGGGGGTCCCAGGGAATGGGGCAGAGCAGTGGCAGAGAGCAGAGTGGAGGCCAGGTGGATGTCTCGAGCTGGGAGACGGGTCTGCTGCTCCCAGGGCCCTTGCCCCTGTCCTTCTGCCTTCCCTCCACCTTGCCCACTTCCCCCCTGCATTGCCCCCACACACACACCCCAGGGCTTACGGTTTCGCTTCGCAGTGGAAAGTCTGAGGGGGCTGATTCCCAGCAGCATTACCCTCCACCTCTGTGGTGGCACTCCCCTTGTTTATTTCCTCAGTCTTGGGTGTCCCCACCACCCCCTCCACGCCCTCCCCAACCCTCCTGACTGTTCCCTTTCTCAGGACGTTCTGCCCTTGTTTCCAGACTGTTTCTGCCTGAACGTACCAGCCTGCTCACCTGTACGCTGCCTCCGGTCAGTCCCAACATTCACTTTTTTCCTGACCAGCCCTCTCTTTGGTGCTCATCTCCTCCCTCACTCCTTTAACCTCCCAGAACTTCAGTGCTCCCATAGACCTGCCTTCCCCACCCATCCAATGACTCCTGGGAACAAGGTGGACAGGAAGCTTTACTGGACCCTAAAAGACAGTAGGTCTGGGGAAGGGCACCTCAAGCCCAGGGAAAATAGCTACATTGTATTGAGCCTTCAGTATGTGCCGGGCACTATATTGGATGCTTTATATACAGCCAGTCACGAAATCTAGTGTTATCCCATTGTACAGATGAGGGAACTGAAGCTTAAATAATTTGCCAAGGCCAGTTATGGAATGCAAAGACAAAAGCCGTGTGTGTCATCCTGACCCTGGGTGAATTATGGGTTTCTTTTGACAAGCATGGCGGCATTAATGAGTCACACGCACCCTGGCCCATCTCAGACCCCTATGTACTCAGCATCTGCTCCCAACCCAGAGGTTCTGTGTTTGGTGAGGGTGATAGAAATGCCGAAACCCTGCAAGAGATCAAACTGTAGAAAAGCTGAGGCAGAAGTGCTAGGGAAGGAATCCTGAGGCTTCCTGAGGGAAACTCTTGCTTTTCACCCCACCCAGCCTGAGGAGCCAGCCCAGCAGGGAGTGGTGGAGGGTGGGTGCCAAGAACCTGCAGCCAGTCCTGGTACCACAAGGGGCCCTGGAGCTCTCCACTTAACCAGGTGATCACTTCTCAGTGCCAGGCAGAGGGGCAAGTCTGATGCCAGGCAATTCTCACTCCAGGACCCAGGCCTCCCAGCCCTCTCCCACTGCAGGGGTGGGACTTCCTGTTTCTGAGGCTGTTTCTTTGCCTGGTTCAGCACAATAGGGCCGGTAGCTTTCCACTGGGCTCAGCAGTGTCTAGACCTGGCCGGGCCAGCAGGGAAGTATGTGTGTATCACTGGGGAGGAGCACCCCCCAAAACCCAGGACCAGGACAACAGTCGGCTCTCAAAGAAGCTGCACTCCATGCTCACCCCTGGAGTGCTGACCTTCTTGAGTGGTGGATGGTGGGAGAGTCCCTTTTTTATAGAAGGTAAGGGTCCTGACAGAATGTGACACAGCCACCCTCCTCCCTCTGCCCTGGGAAAGCAGGAGACAGGTTAAAAACAGAAGCGCGACCATTTCTTTATTAAATTATACAAAAAAGGGGGGTAGAGGGGGGCAGCTGTGGGGCTTGGTCCCAACCCTGGCCCCACCCTGGCCTGGCGCTGTCTGAGAGGGGATCTGAGGGAGACCCAGGGATCAGGCAGGGTAGGGATGGACAGGACAGGAGGCTAGGATGCAGCGGTTACGGAGGAGAGGCTAATGGAGGAGGGGTGGGAGTGGCTGGGGGGAGAAAGGATGAGAAGAGAGAAAAGAGGCAACTGGGGACCAGCTGGGGAGCTCAGATGGAACAGGTCAGGACATGGCAGTCGGCAGAGTGGAGACGGAGGGGCGGTGTCTGGAGAGATGGACATGAGAAGGCTGGGACAGAGAGGGTGGCGGCCCAGAGCAAGGAGCCGGGTGAAGAGCAGCTGCACTCATCTGTTTCCGCCCCCACCTCCAGACCCTGGGGGGCCTCCCACCCCAGCCCATTGGCAGGGGGCTCATGCTGATGCCCCATTTTCTGTCTTCTGCCGCTTGGGATCAGCTTCATCCTGTAGAGATGAAAAGAGAGATTATGTGGGAGAGGGACCGGCCCTTGTCCCTGCCCTGTTCCAGCGCCCACCCATGTACCACAGGGATCTGGGTCCAAATCCAAAGGGCGCCCAGCCCCTGCTGCATCCCTGATAGCCCCTCAGGCCCCACAACCAGCCCAAACCTCCTCTTCAGCAGCTCTCTTCAGCGCGGGCCCTTCGTCGTCATCATCTTCTTCTTCCTCATCTGAGGAGCCAGAAATGGGTCATTGGGGAAGAGCGGGAAGCTCCATCAGACCCCCTGTGGTTGCCCTCAGCCCTGTCTCAAGTCTTCAAACCCACCCTGACTCTATTCCTTGCAGCCCAGCCTCTCCGCCCCTCCCCACCTTCTTCTTCCCCTTCATCTTCCTCTTCTCCATCCTCAGCAGTTTCTTCTTCTTCCTCCTCAGCTCCATTCTCCTCTTCCTTTGGGGACCAGAAGAGGGAGCAGTGTCAGGCTGGGCGTTTGCCTCCACCCACCAGCACCACCAACAGAAAGGAGCACTGGGAGGACCCAAAAGGTGAGGCAAGGAGGATGGGGGAAGTCAGAGGAAAGACAGGACCCAGCCCCTCAGGAAGACAACTGGAAGGGGACAGTGGGCAGATGTGGTCACAGCCCCTAACCCCGACCCTCAGCACCTCCACCACTTCTTTCTTTCGTTCTTTCCGGCTGGCCTTCTCCTCCACCTTCTCTTTCTTCTCCTTCAGGTCCTGCAAGAGAGAACGAGGTCACCTTTCTCTCACCACAAATGATCTGTAGCCCTGGAGTCCCTCTAGCCCGGTTCTCCCTCTGCAGTGAGCTTCGAAGAGTATGGAGTGGAGAAGCAGCCTGGAGTCCAAACAGAGGCCCCCGGGTCTTTTTTTAATTATATGTATTGATTTTAGGGGTGGGGAGAGAGACAGAGAAACATCTATTTGTTGTCCCACTTATTTTTGCATTCACTGGTTGCTTCTTGTACATGCCCTGACAGATCGAACCCTGTAACCTTGGCGTATGGGGACAACGGCCTAACCAACTGCGCTACCTGGCCAGGGCCAGTCCCAGGGTCCTTAAGGCCACAAAGGGGCTGAGACCTGACACCTTCTTCTCCAAGACTCAGCGAAGATGAAATGTGATGAGGAAAGGGATTTAAGTGGTTGAAGTAACTGTTCACCATCCCCATCAAGTTGTTCCAAACTTTACTGGCTGAAGAGTGCAGCTCAGCAACTCAATGCCTCTCCATCTGCTCAAGAGCCCGGATGCCCCATCCCCTCCTGCTGCCTGCCCAGCTCTGCCTTTTGTCTGCCTCTGAGGCCTTTCCTGGGCACCCCACCCCTCCCAGCGACCAAAGCTTTTGATTCTCTCAGTCTGTGGGTCTGTCCCCAGAGTCCCCAGGCTCCTACTTGGACAAACACCACAGGGATAAGGAGAGCACCCTTTTTCCCACTCCCCCCTCCAAAAGGAAGTTCAAGTAGTTTCCTCTTCTCTAAGGCCTGTGGAATGTTCACGGTGTGGTGGAAAGGGAGAAATAACCACTTCCAGAGCATATAGGTCAAGTAGGATAAAAGAAACATGGAAGAGTGTGGGGCATGGGAGATGAAGAGACAAGTTCTGTGTCTGGGGTGGGACAGGAATACAGGTGGGGAAAACACCTGTCTCCAGGACCCTCCCTTGGCACTGCCCCTTCTTCACCCCAAGATCGCAGCAGGCACACCCTAATATCTGTACTTTCTTTTTTTTAAAATCCTCACCCAGGACATTTTTTCATTGCTTTTTAGAGAGGGAGAGAGAGGGAGACAGACAGAAACATCGATGTGAGAGAGGAACATCAATTGGCTGCCTTCTCACAAGTGCCCGACTGGGATCAGTCCTGAGACCTTTCAGTCCACGGGATGGTTCTCCAACCAACTGAGCCATACCAGCCAGGGCCTCATGTCCTTTTCTGATGTGGCAGACGGAAATGCTCTAGAGTGCCCCCTCTATAGACATACCCGCCCCTCCAGTTTTGATTCTAGTCCTCTTCCACCCCACCCTTGCCAAGGGCTGAGCAACTGTCTCCCTAGGATCTGATCTGGTGTTGGGGTGCAACTCTGTGCAATTCCATGAGGATAGAAGTTTTTTATGTGAGTAGATCACCCTGGAAGGGTAGGTCCTTTCTGGAACAGGACTGGGGATAGGAGGGAGGGTTGGTGCCAGTGGTTGGCCTGGAGGGACACTCAAATCCCTTCTCCCTTTCAGGGGAGCATAGAATGCTCTCACTCCAGCTAGGTTTCTTCGTGTCACTTGGCTGTCCTCATTTCTTTGCCACATGGTAGGTATGACATTTCTTATACCTGGTAGACTTTCCCCTCCGTGCTGGGCCTGGAGAGGATGGGACTTGCCAGCTTCTCTCTGGGCCCCAGCACCAGGTCTGTGTTGCCCTGGCCTGAGTTTCCCCATCTAGGCTGATGGGGGGAGGGAGAGAGTATGAAAAGGAGGGCAGGGGACTACCAGAGACCAAAGTCCAAGGGGCCGGGCCCTCTCCTCCCTATCCTGTCCTCCTGGTCACTGTCCTTCCGTGATCCCTTTTCCAGGAGGGTATGTGACCTAGGTCTTGTGCTGAGCAACTCTCTGGCCTCATTTACTCAACACAGGCACACACGCTGACACAGGCTGACACCGGTTCACACACACAGTTACAGAGGAGCACCCATGCGACCCGAAGACACATGGCCCGGTGTCTGGGTATTCTGGCACACCCTCCACACAGCCAGCACGAGAGCACAACAGAGCCACTCAGCACTCACAAAGCAGCAACATGGCCCTAGAACATCTACGTCTCCGCATGCACACATGTAACTGCCACAGGCAGTCCCACACACTTGATGAATTCCAGACATACAAAGACACCTACTCAAGGAAGTCACATGCCACCACGCAGCCCACCCGAAGGCCTCGAGGCACACCTTGTCAGATCTCCAGAGCCCCTCTCTTCCACTGTCTGTAATCCCATGGGTTCCCCTATCACTTCACAGGCCACCCAGAAGCCTCTATGACCTCCTCAGCAATCCCCCCACCCCCAAGGTCAGGCTCCCAGCCCCCAAGCCCTGGCCGAATTAATTTCCCAAAGCGACACTCAGCAGGTTCCCCAGAGAAATTAAAGGCTGGAAGAAAGGCAAGGGCAAACGGATGGGCCAGGAATGGGAGCTGACGAGAGCAAGGACGGCTCCGTGCAAGGCCATGCAATGCTAAGCTGAGGCCTTTTCGAAGGCTATTCTGGCCTTGCTTCTGATTTTTAGGGACTGAAGATTCTTTACGTGTGGGGGGAGAGGCTGAAAGGGTGCCAAGGAGAGAAAAGACAGCTGAAGACCATTGGGGGAAGGAATGGATATGGATGTAAAGAAAGGAGGGAATGAGAAAATTGAGGCAGTAGCTGTCCAAGGAGAGCAGCAAAAGGCTGTCGGGCCTCGAGGGGAGGGGCCGAGAGGAGCAGCCTCCCCGGAGAGTTCTGTTTACACCGGAGGGTCTCATCCCGCTCAGCCGAGGAAAGATGAGGTCAGACTGGAAGGAGTGACAGGGAAACGGGGCGCGGGTAGAAGGGCACGAGGGAGGGGGCAGGTAAAGTGAGCCGTGGAGAGCGCCGACGGGAAACTGGCCGGGACGAAGGCGCGCGGGCCAGGCCCGGAGAGGGGTGGGGACGGCGCGGGGCCCGCTCGGAGCCGGGAGTGGCGCTCGGGAAGCTAGAGGGCGCTGGCGGGCGGCGCGCCGAGCTGGGGAGGCAGCGCCAGGCTGGGGAGCGGGGGGAGGGCGGATCAGGGTCGGTCGGGATCCTGCGCCAGGGCAGCGTGGGGCCGTCGGGGGCGGCCTGGGGCGCACGACCGTGCGGAGCCCGCGGGTCGCGCGGGGCCCGGGCCGCGGCCGTCCCTGCCCGTACCTTGGCGCTCAACTCGGCCGCTGCCTCCACGCTCTTCTCCGACATGGTGCCGGGGCCGGGGCTGGCGGGGAGCCGGGGTCCCGGGGCCGAGAAGGAGGGGCCCTGGACGGCGGAAGGTGGCCGCGGCCGGAACCTGACGCGGTGGCGGCGGCGGCGGCGACAGCGGCACTGGCGGCCGCTCAGCAAGCTGGATCTCTGGAAGAGGCGGCAGAGGCGCGCGGGGTGGGGCGGAGGTGGGTCTGGAGTGGAGACCCGCAGGGCTGCGGCCGTCCACGGAGCGGGCGGAAGGGCGGTGCGGGCGGTGGCCGGCACGCTCCGGCCGCGGTCGCTCGGTCCTCGGCTCGCCGCCCCCGCACCCGCAGAGCTGCCGCCGACCAGCCGCTGCCGCCCCCGGCCAGAGAAACCGCTTATAAAGGCGGCGCTGCCCGACGGGAGGGGCTTCCCAGGGGTGGGGCAGGCGGGAGCTGGGAGGAGAAGAGAAGGGAGGAGGATGAAAGCGGAGGTTGGAGAGGTGGGGATAGGAGGATGAAAGCGAGGGGCGGGAGCGCGCGAGAGGCGGGAGGACTAGACCGGGAGGGGGAGATGGAGAGACTGACGGTCTCGGAGAAAGGAGTGGGGCGCGGAGGTGGGAAGGGGTGGGGTTCCTGCGGGGAGGGACCTCTCCGAATTCCGACCTACTGCCTATGAATGCGGAGTCTGTCTTTTGGGGGCGGGCTGGAGGGATGACCAGAATCCTACCGACCCCCCTTCCCACCCAAAGCCCTGAGATTTTGCCTAGGGATGGTGAGGGGAGCAGAGGGAAAGGCTGGGCAGGTATTTGGTTTTGAGAAACCAAAAGCTTGAACTAGAGGAAGAGGGTGGGGAGCTACTTCCACATCACTCTGGATTTCCCCTCTCTTCCAGCATTTATCTGCATTTTCTGCGTGGCCTTGAGGGGGGGATGGGGAAAGAAAGGGCAGCGCACCCTCTGTCCTGCCCTAGGTTGACATGTGTGACCCTTACTGGGTTCTACTGTTCCTGGCTCCTCTTCGTGCGCTGAGGGGGTCAGAGGCCCTCCACTCTCCTTTCCTCTCTTCAACATCTGACCTTTCTTATTCGCCCATCTCACCTCACTTTTCTTCTCGTCCTTCTATTCCTCTTCATTCTTCCTTATTCATCTCTACCCAGACCCCTCCCTCACAACCATTTATATCACATATTTCTCTTATTCTTCTGTCACCTGTGCTGTGCTTCTCATTTGCCCTCTTCTACCCTTCCACCTTCAATATCTTTCTCCCAGACAACACGGTTCTTGTCTCATCCGAGTCTGCTACCCGGCCCTATATCCATAGTTGATTTTCCTCAACTTCTCTTCATATACTTATTTTCCACAATTTTCCCTTTCTTTCCTTTTCTCTTTCCTCTGCTACCATCTTCCCCAGCCTTTCAGAATTATGTTTGCCTAATTTGCAAAGGGTTCAGGTCTGCAGTTTCAGCCCCACCCTACTCCACAGTTCCCGGTTCTCAGTTTCAATATCTTTGGGTCATTTTGAGAAGCTTGGGACTTCAGGAGGGCACAGGTACTGGGGTGTATATTAAAGGTCACAATGTGGATGGGGTGGAAAGGTAGGGTTTGGAAAAAGATATCTTTGGTGTGTGCACTCCCATATTTGGTTATCATGATCATTATTCATCTTTTTATCCTTTTCTTAATAAAAAAGATACACTGGATCAATCATCATTTGGTATTTGGGTGCTGAAATACACCATCTTTTGGTTCCTTGGTGTACACACCTCCCAATTTCTGTTTCTGAGACTCCCTTATCAGTTTCCCTCTCCTCAAAAGTCCTGGAGCCCCACCCAGGTTTTTCCTTGCCGGACTCTGTCCATCTTTCTCTGAGATATCTCCATCTCTCCCTCAGTCTGTTCCTCTGACTCGGTCTCTGATCATCTTTAGCGATCTCTGACCCCTCTCCATCTCTGTACACTCTCGTTTCATTTTTTTCCTTCTCCCCGCTTCTTTTACCCTCCCCACACCAAGTCTCCCCTATCTCCCTCCCTCCCCGTCAGTCTTTTTCCTCTCCCTCCCACCCTCCTTTCCTATCCACCCCCTCCCCTCCCTCACCACCTCCCAGCCCCGCCTGCTGTCTCGGACACCCTGCTGGGCTCTTACCCTGTTGCCCTGGTAACCGCCCCCCACTCCGGTCACCTCCACTCCCCTCCCCCCTCCAATCCCCGCCACCAACAACCTCCATCCACCTTCCTCCTATTTTTCCTGAGAGCCAATAGAAACTCTGTTGCCAGGTGGAATGCTCATTTGAATCGGCCAATCCAGGAGCCTAACTGCTTGCCCTGCCTTATATGGGGATTTGAGGAGGGCCACTCCCCCCACTCCAGCCCCACAGGGGATCAGCCCCTTCATTGCCCTTTGCCCGCTCTGGACATAGTCTGGGATCCTGTGTTTCTGTCACTCTTCTGTTAGGGTCTGGCCTCCCATTACTCTAACTGGGACCACTGGGGTTAGTGTCGGGTGTGAGCGGGACTGTGGGTTGGGCCTCAGGGCCGAGGGTGGGAATGAGGTGTGATTAAGAAAGGGGAGGCGGAGGGAGCCGGGAATTTTGCCCAGGGAGGGGTGTCTGGGAGCGGAGGCAGCTGCAGTGGAAAATTCCAGGGAGATGGAGAGGCAGAGAATGGGAGTCCTGCCTCAAGGCCCAAGGGAGTGTCGTAAGAATCGAGGAGTTTGGACACTATGATCCGCAGGGACCACAGGAAAAAGACCTAGAAAGCCAGAGGCCTGGATCTAAATCTCTTCCTGAATGGGAAAAGCATCCCTTAGCCTCCCCTGTCTGGTTGGACAACACACTAGTCTCCTGAAGTCTCGGCTGCACGAGAAGGAAGCTAGAAGTCAGAAGCCGTGAATATGGAGTGGGTGGCATTCTAAAAGCCAACCCCCATAGTGCTTGGGACTAGACTCTGCACCTGTGGGGCCAAACAGTGGTGAACGGTGCCAGCCTGGGTTTGATCCTTTCCAGGGAACTATTTCCGAGGCCTTGTGGAGGCTTGCCTGTCTCTAGAGTTCTATTACTCCACAGTCCAATTGAGAATTTCCCCCACTACTTGAATGGAGAAACGTTTGCTGCTTAAACATTTCCTGGAGGTGTGAAGAAGGAGGCCAGGTGAGAGGAGGGATGAACCCTCTGGATACTGTGACTTCTGGCCAGACATCCTAGAAATTTACCTCAGAACTGTGTGAGGTGTTCGATTCTAACCATTTCCATCTCATTTTTAAGTGAACTCTTCCTCCTCTTCATCTCCCTCCCTGCCCCCCTTTTTTTCCCCTAAAGTTTACCTATTTGTCTGACAGGTTAAGTGCTAAAGAAGTTGTAGTTATCATTCAAGGTGTCGCATCGGAGGACAGAAAACAAGAGTTGTACCACCCCTTTCCTCACTGTACTTTTTACCCCTGCTCCCAGTAACCTCATTTTCTAGTCTTCATTTTTCCTTTGCATTTTTTAAAAAAGATTTTATTTATTTAAAGGGGAAGGGAAGGAGAGAGGGAAAGAAATATCAACGTATGGTTGCTTCTCGTGTGTCCCTTGCTGGGAACCAGCCTGCAACCCAGGCACGTGCCTTGACTGGGAATCAAACTGCGATCCTTTGGTTCACAGGCCAGCGCTCAATCCATTGAGCTACACCAGCCAGGGCCCTTTGCATTTTTTTAAATAAAAACTCAAATCATTGGAGAGTTGAGACTAGGTGGACTCTTAGAAAGAGACCTAAACCAGCTTAACTTTGATCCTGTTTGAGTATGTTTTCCCCAGAAGTGCTATTTAAGAAATCACCTTCTGGACAGACACTAAGGCACATTCATCATGAACACTGGCAGTCAAGTGTGTCCATCAATATATTCTGCTCACATTTTAATAGAGTTAAGATTTTTTAAAAATCCACCTTTTCTTTATTTCTTTTTTTAAAGATTTTATTCATTTATTTTTAGAGATAGGGCAAGAGACTTGGCCCACAACCTGGGCAGTGCCCTGATCTGGAATTGAACCAGTGACCTTTTGGTTCACAGGCTGGTGTTCAATCCACTGAACCACAGGAAGCAGGGCCCAAGTTTTCTTACTGCCCTCTATATCAAGCTGGAACTTTTGCACTTCAGCAAACTTTCACTGAGCTCCTCCTAGGTATCGGCGGTGTGCTATGTGATGGCACTTCAGCTATGCTAAAGCTGAATGAAGACATGGTCCTTGCCCTCAAGGAAGAGATGGGGAGAGCTCAGTCCAAGTACAACTTGAAAACTGACGTGTACCCGGGTATTCTCTTCCCACCTGTCAGATCAGGCAGCACGCTGTCCCATCTCCATGGAATGCCTTCCTGATGTCTCCTGAGTTTTACAAATCCTTACCCATTGTTCCTAACTCCAAACAGCCTTCCTTGGTTCCTCCACTCTTACTGATGATCTCATCTTGTACCTAATACCTCGTGTGAAAGAGGTACATAATGCTATGTACCAAAGACAAAGAGCTCAATAAATTGATTCCCTAGCCCTGAAACACCATTTTGGATGCAATCTCAGTGCCCTCTCAACTTTTTTTTTTAGTCAGAGGAGAAAACATACAACATGCTGCCAGGATGTCAACTTGACTCTTAGGATCTTCTCATTCACTACTGATGCCCTGGTAGTGACTGTCTTTTACAGTATTGACATCACAACCAAAATTTCTGTGGCTTTCCTACTTCCCCATGAACTTTCTCCCCAGCATAAAGAATTGGTTTAGCAATCGTATCTCTCCTCTAGTTTGTGTTTGATTGCCTTCTTGGTAACCTCCTTCACTTTTACATCTAGAATAGTTTGCTATTGCCCAACCTTCTCCTGTTTTCCCTTCAATTTCTCCCCCATGTGCACTCTTCAGGAAGCCTTCAGAGGCCTTCAGAGTGTCTAGAAGAAAAATAACATTTGTCGGTGCTATCTGGCCCTAGTGAAACTTTCCGTGATGATGGAAATTTTCTCTATCTGCACTTTTCAATACAGTGGCCACTAGCCACATGTGGTTATTGAGCACTTGAAATGTGGCTAATGCAAGTGAGGAACTGCATTTTTTATGTTAACTTTAATTAAATTTAAATAGCCATTTAAATGGCTAGTGGCTACCATATTGGACAGCACCACCTTGGACCTTGGCCCTAAGCTAACTTTTCTTTTTCCGCCTCCTTTCCCTTCTCCACTCCTAATGTTCTGGATGTAGAAAGTCAAAAGCCACTCTGGCTACTGTGTTGAAGTGATCTGGGCCACTTGTCATAAGCTTTACCATAGGTACATGTTCAGGGTTTCTACATTTTCATAGGTTAAACAGACTGTGGCTGACCCAGACAGAAAAGTAGAAATGAAAAAGGATAGGGAAAAGGAGGCCAGGAGGGACAGCTAAAACACAAGGCTGAAGGAGGACTTGGTAACCAGGAGAAGGCAATGACAGTGTTGACTGAACCTTTCCATGTGACTCCAGTCTCAGGGGTCCTGTTCTCACTCAGTCAAAGTGACTCCATCACACACTTCCATGATTTTAAGACCTCCTGCCAACACATATCTCAAACGCTGATGACTTTATTTTTTTAAGTCTCATCTGAGGATATGTTTATTGATTTTAGAGAGAGAGGGAAGGAGAGAAATACTGATCTGAGAGAGAAACATAGATTGGCTACCTCCCAAATGTGCCCTAACTGGGGACCAAACCTGCAACCCAGGTATGTGCTGTGGTGGGAAAGCGAACCTGCAGCCTTCTGGTGTACAGGATAATGCTCCGACCAAGTGACCCACTCGGCCAGAGCTTGATGACTTAAACCTAGATCTCTGTCACTCATTTCTCTCCTGAATGTCAGTCACAACCCAATTCCCTTCTCTTCATCTCTCCCTGAATCCTGCGCAGCTCCTCAAATCCCAGGTTTCAACTGAGATTCCCTCACTTTCTACGTCAGTTCCAGGTACTGTCCTCCACTCATTCATTCATGCAAAAGGGTCATCCAAGATTCCACCTTTTCTTTCCCTCCCGAGGCCCTTCACATTCCACTTTGTGAAGATTCCTTAAGTGCCTCCTCTTCTCTCCAGGCTCAGTCCTGCCTCTGCTTCAGAGGTCAACATCACTCACTGACTGTAAGCTTAATTAATTAGGATTTTCAATCATTTTTAAGAATTTTTGTATTTTCAGCACCTACACCCCTACCTGGAATATTGTAGAAGCTCAAAAATTGTTTCCTGAAATGCATAAACTCTCTTTCTACTTAAAATACAAACAGACTGTTTTAATTTGTCTTTATAAAACCCTTTGATAACTTCCCCAGGCCTACCAGATAAAGTCCAGGAACAAACAGGGCTCTCCAAGGTCTGGTCCCTTTAACCTCTATAACCTTGTCTCTCACCTCTGTTCCCTCAAAAGTTTTGCTTCAGCCTTTTTTTTTTTTTAAATCTCCTCTTAGTTCTTCCCCAATGGGGCATCGCTCTGTGCCTTTGCATCGACCACGTCTGCTTGGAATGCTCTCCTGCCTCCACATTCCCACCGCAGAAGTTATCCACTCCCTCTTCTGAATCACTTTTGCCCGCTTAATATATATCTTTCAAAAGGCAAAGGAAGTCAAATACACGGTGGCAAAAGGAGATTTAACTGGGTGGTGAACAAACAATGCAATATAAAGTTTATGATATAGAATTGTACTCTTGAAACCTGTATAATTCAATTAACCAATGTCACTTAATGTCAGTTAACCAATAAACTTAATAAGAATTTTTAAAAATTATATAGCCTGGCTGAGTGGCTCAGTTGCTTGGAGCATTGTCCTGCATACCAAAAGTTTGCGGGTTCAATTCCTGGGCAGGGCACATACATACCTAGGTTTCAGGTTTGATCCTGACCAGGACATATACAAAAGGTAACAGATTGATGCTTCTCTCTCACATGGATGTCTCTCTCTCTCCCCTTCCCTCTCTCTAAAATGATCTAGTGACTACTGCACAACTTTATCTACCTGGAACAATTTAGTGTAAACTTTGAGGGTTTATCTCCTTCCCCCCATGCAAATACACATATACACACATACACTCAGTCACACCTATTCACATAGGCTCAAGCAGGAAATCCAGTCTCCCCTAATTCCCACATCATTCCCCATCCTCACTGTGTTCCAGCATCCAACTGCCCTAGGTTTGCTCCAGGTACATGACCTTACATCAAAAAAGGCCCCTTTCTGGCCAAGCTCTATTTTCTCAAGGACTTGCTGACTTTATCTCCATCAAACAGAGAAGTGCGTATAGGAACTACTTTGTTTCTCTTCCTTCCCAACAATCTTTATTCTCCTGTGTTAAGTAAGCCTCACCCCTGCATCTCTTCCTCCTACATCTTACCATCTACAAGACATTCCAATGACTGAGGAATTTCTGTTCATCAGAGTTCATAGGGCAGAGATGAAAGGAAAGAAGGAAGGAGCGAACATGGGAGGGAAGGGAAGGGAAGTTGATGGAGAAGGAAGACAAACTCTTATTGTGGGCGACAGAAGGTTACTTGTATATTCCTTCAATTCTAGAAGTAGAGGGCTGCCTAAATGGTATTTCTCTGGGAACTCTGAAAATGAGCTTTTGCATGTCCTCTTTCATCTCCATCTGTTCAAGAATTTCTTTTAACCTGAGACAAAACCCAGGTTTGAAGCTTTGTCTCATACTTAGAAGCTAAATTGTAATTTGTAAATACTATTTTGGATTCGGGCCAGGTTGAGAAGCCAAGTACGCACAGAGCCAACAAGTTACATGTAGATTTTCTGCCGCAGGTGGTCAGTGCCCCCAAACCTTGCTTGTTCAAAGGTCAAGCTGTAATACGTTGAAATGAGTACACTTAAAATCATGCAAAGGTAAAAATGATAACAAGATTCTTAATTTTTGGAAGAAAGAAGAGAAAGAACTATAGGCACCTAGAGGCAGTGGGTAGAGTGCCAAGTATTGAAAAAGGAAAAAAGGAGGAGGCTAAAAGCTAGGTTATCTCCTGTCCAGTCTTGAAGGTTGGACATGAAGGAATGAGAAGGCAGAAGCTGGAAGGTGAGGGACCGCACTTAGTTAAGTCAAGGCTACAGAACTCTCACGTGGGATAACTCGATCACATGTTAAACTGTTTCTGTTTGGGGGTAGAGGAAAAGGGGCACTTGCATGGTTCAATGTCCAGAGACAGAGTATCTGAAAGGTACATGTAAAAGATTTTACTGAGTCTCTTCCCCAGAAATATCAATGAAAACAAATGTTCTTTTATTCTTTCTTTGGTTTTGCCAGTCTGCCCCTTTCTAAATGATCTGTCTCTGTACCTTCTGTCTTTACTATTGTTTTTTCCTCTTTAATAATGATCAAGTCCAAAGAAACCTGAGAAGCCCTGACCCCAGTACTTTTTCCTGAGTCACCAGGGACCCCTTCCTCCTTCTTCCCCAGGGAAGTACTGGGAACAAGTGTATCTCATTGGCAGGCTCCACATAGCACTTATATGGCTAGCAGCCAGAGTAAAGAACCAGGGAGAGCTAGAACTTGGATAAATCTGGTTTAAAGTCCACCCTAGACAGTCCAAATCCCTTGACACTCAAGGGGAGGGCCTTTTTCTCAAGTTGGGCCAGATTTTATGCAAGACATTTACTATGTCAAAGTATCAGTCTTTGGCCTGGAGTCGGGTCTCCAGAGTCTGTTTCTAGCTCCAACCCTGGGTGATTCAGGTTAATAGAGCTATCCGACCTTTTTCTTCACCTCCTATAGTTTAGACCCTTGACTTAGCTACCTAACTAGAGGCAAGAAAGATCAGTGCAAGACTGGGAGCTCTTCAGGACACCAGAGTTGAGGAAAAAAGGGAAGGCTGGCATTTAAACAATTTCAGAACTACAGCCTTTCTCCAGTCTGACCCTCACAGTAGGGTGAGGGGTTTAGGAACCTCACTAACTCCAGCTCCCTAGGGGATGTAGCTTCAGCCTTGCTGAAGAGTGCCATCTGGCGGCCGAACCTCTCTCCACCTGGACTCTCTTTGCCCCGCCCGCGTTCTGAGCCAAAGCTAGACCTGGGCAGAACTGTCACCGCCTCCAGTACGTCACTTCGAGGACCACGCCCCTGCCTGGATCGCACCTCCTTCTCAAAGGACTGGCCCCTGGCGCTTCCCCCGCAGAACTGCCGCCCTTCATCCCTCTAGGGCTGTACAGCTTCTCCGGTAGAAAATCTGCTCCAAGTTCCCCAGGGATCCGCCTCACCTAATCGTCCACTGGGAGCCTGCCCCTCCCCCATGGGAATCTACCCCTGTCCTCCTCTTTCCGGAGTGAAGCTGCTGCCCCGCCCCAGCCCCATCCCTCGCGAGGAGTGGACTCTTGTGCTTGCCCCCACCCCAAACCCTTACAGGGTCCCTCTTCTGGTCCTCAGGGCCCAAGTCCAGGTTGCCAATCAGGGCCCCCCACCCCATGTCCCCAGAGAACCCCTGCACCCTGCCTCAGCGTCCTGCCACCCCAAGAGCCGATCCCCGCCTCCTCTCCACACCCGCCGGCGGGCGGAGCTCCCCGGGCCGGCCTCGGGGTGGGCGGGCCCATCGTGACGTCATTTCCGTCCGGGCCTGGCCGCGGGTCGGGCTCCGTGGGCCGAGGGGGGAACGGAGGTGGCAGCTGTGGGAGGTGCCGGCGCGGGAGAGCGAGGAACCCAAGCCCGGACCAATCCTGCGTCCCGGGTCGCTAGCCCTGATTCTGCGGCGCACCGAGGGGCGAGACCGGCCGGATGGGCCGCTGAGCCCGAATCGGGGACCGGTGAGGCTCCATCCAAGCGGGGTGCAGGGACTGCGAGCCTGGGATGAGGGGAGGGGATGGAGTCAGGCCCGCCTCTCCCGCTTGCAAAGCGGAGAGGCTGGGGCCAGGGGAGCCGCCGACGGTCGCGGTGGGGACAACGAGGCCCTCCAAGAGGAGGCCTGGCCGCGGTTGGGTGTAGGTAGGGGGCGGGATGGCTTGGGTCATTAGGGAGAGTAGGGCCAGCATTTAGGATTCTCAGCCGGAACTGTGGCGTCGGGGGAGAGGATTGCTTTTGGCCAGAGCTTTGGGAAGAGGATGGCAATGAGTGGGGGAGGCAGAAAACTGAGAGGCTTGGAAAATTTTCCGTGGCCCTCCTCGCGAGAGAGGTTTGAAGAACTGTTATCTTCCTTAGAGGGTGGTGTTGAACACCTGGAGAAGAGTGTTCAACCCTTCACACTGGCGTTTGAGGTGGGGGAGGGATCAGTTACAATATTTGGAAGGGATAGTGCTCTAGGAGTCCCGATATTGAGCCGGTGTGCAATGCTTGGCTGCCTCCAAGTATCAGATCTTTACAGTGTGGAGCCCCCCCGGAGCTAAAATCAGGATGTTCCGCTTCATGAGGGACGCGGAGCCTGAGGATCCCATGTTCCTGATGTGAGTATGCCCTCTCCCTCATGCCCTGGAGCACTCGTCCCACTCCACTCTAGGTCTCTGAGTAATTCCAACAGACATCTGGGTTCCCTCTGTGGGTACTGATGGGAACTGGCTGGATACTCAGCTCCAGCTCTGACTTAGAGGGGAAGTAGGCGTCTGTGCCACTGTTTCCCTAGGACTGTTTTCTTTGGGGAGCAGGGGGTGTTGTTGACTGCCTGGCCCTTCTGCCATCCGTACTCTCTACTCACTCCACAGGGACCCCTTTGCTATTCACCGTCAGCATATGAGCCGAATGTTGTCAGGTGGCTTTGGATATAGCCCCTTCCTCAGCATTACAGATGGCAACATGCCAGGGACCAGGCCTGCCAGCCGCAGGATGCAGGTAATGGTGCTGCGTGTTCATGAGACCCAAAGAAAGGCCAGAGGGTGGTTAGTAAAGCATTTGATTTTCTTTGTACTATAGCCTTTAGCAAGTAGGATCATCTAGGGGTGGGGGGAAGGGGTCTGGAAGAAGGGCTCAGTGATCCTGTTTTGTGAGGAGGATGGAAAAAGGGCTGAGGCCATAGACTTGGTTTGGGATAGCAGTGACATAGAATGTGGTCTCTAATTTCTGTCCCTTCTGTGTTCCTGCAGACCGGGGCTGTCTCCCCCTTTGGGATGTTGGGAATGGTGAGTTCTCATATTTTTTGTGTCCTTCCATCTCAGATTCTTAGGTATTACTTCCAAATGTGCTTCTCTGGAATGGCCTTGTGGGCAACCCTAGAATCTTTTTAAAGTGTTCCCAGAACATTGGGCCTGCTGTGTGCTATGAGTCCTACAAGGTAAAGATGCTAATATTGAATCCTGGCATCTCAGGAGCCATGCACATTGGGGAAGTGTAATTGTCTACCAAAGTTTATTCTTTTGAGCAGAGAGATGCAGTTGAAGGGGCACTTACACATGGTTTTTAGATTTGTTTACAAGTTCATGCCCAACCACTTTACAGGTTACAATCCATTAACTTTGGCATGCTTCCTGAAGGTAGGAGGAAATAGGGCAATCAGGAGGAGGAAAATAGATCAGAGCAGCCTTGGAGACTGAGGAGGAGGGCAGGTGGCAGTATTCAGGAAGAGACACATGAAGAGCAACATGCTCACGAACAATGAGAAAAACCAGGTGTTGGGTGTAAAGGAATAAGAGAAAGGGACTGTGTAGCTATGCAGCTAGTGGGTCATCTCTGAGCACTGATTCTGCGTTCTCTGCTGCAGTCGGGTGGCTTCATGGACATGTTTGGGATGATGAACGACATGATCGGGAACATGGTGAGACTCTTGCCCCCTCCCTTTTCCTGGCCCTGTTCTCAGTGACTGCTGGTACCACCCTGAGTCCTCAGAAGCAGGAGTGGGGAAGAGTGTGCTAGAGAAGGGGTCAGACTGGGTAAAGAAATTGAACCCGGAGAGCACTGGTTCCGGTGTCTGTTCTCATGCCTGAGAGGGAAGCGGCAGCAGCACTCTTATTAACTATGCAGTAAGGCTTGATTTCTGAAGGTCCTTCTTGTTCGTTGTTGGACTCACAGGAATTTGGGGGTGATGAAGAGTCCTAACATTTCCATTCTCACATTTTGTGAGGAAGATCTGAGCACGAACAGGCCTCCGAGGAGAGCCCCTCCCCTTCAGTCCCAGGACACTCTTTCCTTCTCAGGAGCACATGACTGCTGGAGGCAACTGCCAGACCTTCTCATCCTCCACCGTCATCTCCTACTCCAATACGGGTGATGGCGCCCCCAAGGTCTACCAGGAGACGTCAGAGATGCGCTCGGCACCAGGCGGGGTGAGTTGGAGAGCTCTTCTGTCAGAGAAGGCAGGGTTTGAAGAGCAGCTGTAGAAATCCTGCCTTCTATTTTCAAGATTGGGTCATGGGTAGTTTCATCTGTTGTGGGTTACTGTGACCTGGCCTTTGGAATGGGCAGCGGAGGGTGCTGTGTTCTGCCTCATCCCAGATCCGGGAGACTCGGAGGACCGTTCGGGACTCAGACAGTGGACTAGAGCAGATGTCCATTGGGCATCATATCCGAGACCGGGCTCACATCCTCCAGCGCTCCCGAAACCACCGCACCGGGGACCAGGAGGAGCGGCAGGACTACATCAACCTGGATGAAAGTGAGCCTTACTTCCTGCTCTTCGCCCTCCCAGCTTCTTGTCTAGTAATCCCTAGCCAACTTCCTGTGAGCTAGGAGATACCAAGTTTTTCTCTCTACCTCCATTGATATTTTGGAAGGCAAAGCATAGTGAGCCCCATACTCTTACCTCACTTGGAGCCTTGTTGGTGTAGGGGCTGAGCCAGGTTACCAGGGATGGGTAAACTTTGTCACCTAAGTAAGATATTAGTAGTAATCTACCCTCTCCACCTGGATTCATTTTTTTCTCCGTTTTTTAAAAACCAAGAAATATTTATTAAATACTTACTGTGTGTTTGGGACTCTGCTCCCTAACTAAATAATCATCCCATTCCTGATTTCCTTCTGCAGTAGTCATGCCTTGAGCCTGCTAGTGGCTTCCAGGAACCACACTGAACCAAAAATTGCTAAAGTTGCCCTCTCCCGCACATCCTGACACACCTGCTTTCAGCCTCTGCGGCAGTTTTTCAGGCTTAAAACCCTGTGGCTCACTCGTAGTTCTCCCTCCAGAAGCCAGGCTGTCGGTAGGTGGTGTCACGTCTGCTCTCTGTGTCCTGTTCAGGTGAGGCCGCAGCATTTGATGATGAGTGGCGGAGGGAGACATCCCGCTTCCGGCAGCAGCGCCCTCTGGAATTTCGACGGCATGAGGCTTCAGGGGGTGGGGGCCGAAGGGCTGAAGGGCCTCCCCGTCTGGCCATTCAGGGACCTGAGGACTCCCCCTCCCGACAGTCCCGCCGCTATGACTGGTGAGGGCCCTGGGCCCTCAGCCTCTCTTGTAAGTATTTGAGGGAGAGGAATTGTTAGATGTCAAGCACAGGAGGGGGTTAGGGAATGTGCTTGTGCTCCATCGTCTGCCATGAGGCAGAGACGGTCCAGGTACCTAGCGAATACTGCCTTTGCTAGAAGCTTTGGTTGGTAGGGAAAGAGAGGAGAGTGCTCTCACTGGCATAGGGAATAAACCCCAACTCCTGGCTTTTATCATTTGTCTTCCTTTGACTTGTGCTCATCTCTCTTCCCTCTAGGTACAGGCTGAGAGGCTCAGAAACCATCCCCTGATAGAACCTTTTCCTCTCCAACCCCCACTACCACTTTAATATTAAATTAACAGGCAAGCTGGCCCCCACCTCTCCCCTGGGGACCCCAGGGGGAGCCTTTCACTGCCCCCTTTACCTACATTTTCCTTCTTTAACCCCCTTACCACAATGACTCCACCTCTCCTGTATCCACTAACTTGATTTTTCATTTTGCTGCTCCGTCCTTGAACTTCCTCACATTTCCCATTCTACCCCTGCCATATGTTGAAGGCTTCCGGGGGAGCTCTGGGTTCAGGGGCCTCCTCCATCCCTCAGCTACCTTGGATCTTTGCCTACCTCCTCCTCAGATCCCCTGCTCTGCAGGAGCCATGGCCCTCATCCAGGGCTGTGTGTGGAGAGGACTGGCTCTAGACCTTTTCTCCCTCCCCACCCCCTACACATCGCCCCATATTCTTCTCTACCTTTATTTTTTGATTTGTGCAACTTGTAACTAGGTGTTTATGGAATAAAGGAGAATGGGAAAAAAACACCAAGTGGCACTTTGGCTTTACATTTGATTTTTTTTCTCTTCAATTTCAACCCTCCTGTCTCCTAGTCATGTTCTTACTTGCCCTCTGTCTTTATGTGTGGCCTTCCTAACTCAAGTTCAAGGCCAGTGCCTCACTGGTAATGACACTGGAATGGTCAGCACTGAGAAGCAGCAGTGGAACTCAGTGGGGCTAGTCTAGGAGGATGAAATGTAAGCAGCCGTCTTAATGACTCTCCCTTGCTTTTGCTGTAACTTCATTTGTCAGGAGGAATGCAGGGCATGTCTACCTCATAGGTGCCTGAGGAGTTTGCTGCTGCTTGTCCCTCAGGCGTAGTTCCTCCTGTGGACTGTGGGAAGGAACTGTGGGAAGGAACACCGGTGGTGCGGAGCAGGAAGGAGCCCAAATAACCCTGTGCAGGCCTCCAAGGGGGAGGAACTTGGGTCAGCAATGCTCCACCAAATGTTCTTCAAACCCTCCACCGCCAGTTGTTGAGAATTTGAGCCCAGGGAAGGAGACCAGAGGGGAAAACTAACCTGGAACCTGAGCAGTACAGAAAGGGCATGAAGTGCTCAAATTTCTCACGATGGTTACTCTTGCTTGACCAGGCTCAGCCAAATGGGTCATTCTGAGGAACTTATTAATGGTGACAAATGCTTGCCTGGTGAGTCTGATGATGGTTTCCTCTACCCACCCACCCCCCCCCCCAAAAAAAAAAAAAAAAAACTCAAAAAACTTTAGTTCTTTTCTGCTGATAAATCAAAGGCATAAAATCCAACCACCACCACCCAGAATCTAAGGTTTTGGGTCCCCTCAGCAAAGGGAGGTTTTGAGGGATAAATAGATTCAAGAGGATTTGTCCAGTTGCTCAGTGAGCAGAGGGGAAGTTGAGTTCATCATCCAGGCACATTGTCAGGTGTTAAACCCTCAACAGTAGGGCTGGTGAGGAAGCATGACAAGGGTCAAGGGAACCTCCCAGTGGCTAAAATAATCCAAGAATCCCAGAAGTTAAACAGGTATAGTTAATCTGCCTTCACTTGGGGGTTCAGTTATGGGTGATGGATCTCGAAAGTGTCCACAGCACTCAGCTTCAAGTGTAACCTGTGCTGTGTCCAGATGGACACGTTTACTTCCTCTAGCCATGGATTGGCCTTCATCAGTCTCCTGAGGAAGCAGCACATGAAAAGCACTGGAGTTGTACAAGGAGCCCATGGACTGGGCTGTCAGCTCTGCTCTGCCACCAACCTAGCCATGTGGTCTTGGGCAGGTCATTCTCTCTCCTGGACCTCAGCCATGCAGGTCCCTTCTAGCTGTAAAATCTTAGGCTATAGTCAGTGCCCAACCCCTCGACCCAGATTTTGGTTCTAGTGCCCACACGTGGGTGTAGTTCTGAATGGGGGCTGCAGCAGGGCAAGGGTTGCCCTTATTTCCACGTGAGTCACTCCAGTGCTTCACAAGCTCTCTCCTCCAGGATCTGGCTTTTAGACACGTGAACTAATTTTTAGCCCTGCTCCCTGCTCTTGGGTGAGGACCACCCTTCAACTTGGCACTTACCCCTAGGCCTGTCACTGTGGTTCTCAGGTGTGATATGTTGTGGGAAGTTTGTAGCAGCAGCCACCCAGTGGGGTGCTCAAGAAGCAATCTTCTGTCACTTTCTGACCTGTCTGCCACTGTGGGGTGAGGGTCAGGAAGCAGAGACAGGAAAGGAACTCTTGGAGGGATGCTGACATTTTATTTCTGGTCAGCTCTCCAGCTCGGCCCATGTCATGCACCTTGGCCACTCCCTTAGCCCTCCGTCCAACAGGTGTCCAGAGGTCATGGTCAGACTCACTTAGGTCACTCCCCTCACCCCAGAAAATTACAGGCTGCCAGAGGCTGATACTTAGAGGAAGACTACGAATTATACAAAGTGAAACGATGAATATAGACTGGCCTGAGCAAGACTTGGCTCCACCACTTAGCTAGGACTCTGGGGAAGATTCTTAATCTCTCAACGTGTGCCCTGCTTTGTGAAATGGGACTTTCTAGGCACTGGTGGCAGTGGTAATACGGATTCATAGCTCAGAATTATGAGAATTAAGTGAGTTTGTACAGAGAAAGCATTTGACAAGTGCATGACATATAAATGACTGATTTCTCCCCAGTTACTTGGTCCCAGTCTTGCTCCTTCAGTGCTCCCTGTGGTTCCATCCACAGGACTCCTACACTTCCAGGCACAACCTAGAAAGCATCTTACTAGCCTTGAATCAGCCTCCAGTTTCCCATTCTCGTAACTACCAACTATCATCTTTCACCCTTTTGTTCCTCAGCTTCACAGACCAACAGGCAGAGACAAATGTTTTGGGCCTTTCTGACCCAGCCCTACTTGCAGCTTGGGATATTTTTCCCTCCTGCAGTAACAAAGGGCATCAGGTCCTAGTAACACCTTTTACCCAGTGCCCTCTTCCTCTACCCAATGCCCAAGTTACATAAACAGGTTACCCAGAGAACCAAGGGCTGATCCACTCTGACTGTAAGAACCCAGTAGTCTGGTCTCCTAGCCCACATATTCCAGTCCACTTAACTCCGCATACCTATACTGCCCTGTGCATCCAGTCCTGGGAATGGGGCTGAAGGAGTACAAGAGTCAAGGATTCCTTCTCTCAGGCCATTCCAGTTGGGCTAGGGATAAAGAAAAAAATAGCCTTTCCCTCACCCTTTCTTCTACATCACTGGGGTTTTCAGATAGAGGTGCGAGCCAGGTGAGGTTGCACTACAGGAGAGAAGACAGGGATGGACAGTCAGGCATAGGAGGTGCTGACAGGTAAGAGAAATAACCAAGGAGACTGGGGTCACGGGAAAAAAAGACTTTGTATACCTGGTTCCCCAAGGCGCCTCCCAACTAGCCTCCACCCACGTGGAGAAATGGGGGGTTGCGGTGGGCGCAGAGCTGACAGGGCTGGAGGGAAGAACACCTGAAAGGGCTGGGTTGCAGAAAGTTGGCAGAGCTGCGACGAGGGAGGGTGAGCCTGAGGCCCACTGCCCATAGGGCAGGGTAGGTATGCAGAGTCAGTGTGCTGACAGCTTTGAGCCTTCCCAGCCTCAATGTCTGGCCTTAAATGGTGTATCTCAGGGGACAAGGAGAAGTAGGTAGTGCTCTCCCCCCAGCTCACTCATGCCCTTAACCCCTCTGGACTGTCCCTGAGATGAGATGAACCGAGTGAGCATTCAGAATTCCTTGCCTTTTCTCTGCCCTTTATGATTCTTTTCTCCCTGAAAGACATTATCTTTGGGATAGGAGGAGGGTGCTGCCCCAGCATTCCTTTCACGCTCTTTGTTTGCTCTGTCACCTTCCATTAGAGAACTTGCAGGTTCTAGACAAGTATCCCCACGATGTTAGTGTTCTCCAGCCAAGGAGGTCAGCCAGATGTCCCAGGGGTCGGAGGCTAGGACACGTGGACGCCTGATGCTGGAGGGTGGGAGAGAGAGGGGCATGGGAGGGCTGGAGGGCTGGGGTTGAGTCTCTAGGAGAGGGAGCAGAAATGCCTTGGGAAATGCCTTGGGAAAGGTCAGGTGACACTGAGCTGGGAAATGGTTTGATGCAAGTAAACGAAACTAGGTTCTTAGAAAACTACTGATGAACTTAGAGATATCCTGGATCTGGCAGCAGCTGGATGGTGGGGGAAGATTCCCAGTGTGGCAGGGAAGGACAGAAACAGATTCCCAATACAGATAAGACAGCCCTTGATGTAAGCGAACCAAGTGTATTATCTAATTTTAGAGTTGAAAGAAACCTTAGAGATCACCTCTGGATGTTCCCAAATGTGGCAGATGGGAATCACCACCCCAGACATACTAAAGCAGAATCTTGAGGCTGGTGAGGATTCCAAGGCAGCTTAGCGACAATTACAGATGTCATCCAAACCCCAGCTCCTATATCACTGCGGGAGAAACAGGTGATTTGTTGAACCTCATACAGCTACCTGCTAGCACTGCAAGAGCCTGGACTCAAAACATGATTAACACAAATGATATTAAAGGGGGTCCTTTAAATAAAAAGTTCCTCAGTGATTTAGAATGTTTTAAATTTATATTAAAATATACCCAAGTAATAGCACAGCATCTAAAAGAACAGACTGCCAGTAGTAGCCCAGTGTGTCTGTTTTATTAAAAAATCTTATTTGTTTTATTTTTAAAAAGATTTTATTTATTGTATTTTTAGAGAGAAGGGAAGGGAGGGAGAAAGAAACATCAATGTGTGGTTGCTTCTCGCATGTCCCCTATGGGGGACCTGGCCCACAACCCAGGCATGTGCCCTGACTGGGAATCAAACCGGCGACACTGGTTGCAGGCTGGCGCTCAGTCCACTGAGCCACACCAGCCAGAGCTTATTTGTTTTAATATGCAATAAAATTGCTAGGTGTGCAGCTTCTGACATTTACTATATATAGGTTTGTGTAAACACACTATGAGGATCAAAGCAGCTCCACCCCAGACGTCTTCCTGCTTCTGCTTTGTAGTTCTCACACCCTTCCTTCAATCCTAGCCCTTGGCAACCACTGATTTGTTCCCCATTGCTATAGTTTTGCCCTTCCATGATGCCATATAATAAAATCGTACAGTATATATCCTTTTGAGAGTAACTTTTTCACTCAGCTTTATTTAGCCTTTGAGATTCACTTATGTTGTGGCATGAATTAATAGTTCAATTCTCTACTTTTTTTCTTTAATTGATTCTAGAGAGAGGGAAAGGGAGGGAGAAAGAGAGGAAGAGAAGCATCAATCCATTGCTTCCTGCATGTGCCTCGACTGGGGACTGAACCCTCAAGACAGGCATGTGCCTCAATTAGAATCAAACCAGTGACCTTTTGGTCTGTGTGACAACGCCCACCTGAGCCACTCCAGCCAGGGCACTAGTTCAAGCTTTTTTAGTGTTGAGTAGTACTCTTTGTCTATTTACCTATTCACCTGTCAAGGGCTGTTCTCCAGTTTTTGTCAGTTATGAGCACAGCTGCAATAAACA